TTTTTTTTTAAAATATGTTTTATATTTTTTTTTGCATAATTTATATGTTATTTTATTTTACTATTTTTTCATAACCCACATTATATATAAAGTATTATTCTATACAGATTTTACCAATAATTACGTAATTTGTAAAAAGATTTTTGTTTTTTGTTAAATAATAAAATTTAAATTTAATATGTTATACAGAGTATATTATAATAGTAGAATGAATCTTTTTTTAATTTTATTGAGTTTATTCGCTGTTTTCAAAAATATAAAATGAGAAAATACTATTTATTAGCCTATAGTATTTTTTATTTTTATTTTCGTTTCATCTTTTTTTTTATTTGAAATCAAAATATCGGTCGGTTTCCTTATATGGTAGCGTACTCGTGTACAGTATATTTTAGTACAAAATTATTTATGATACTGTTGAAAATCCAAATCATATGTATAGCACGCAATTACGCACACATGCACTAAAATAGACTGTGATGCAGCCATGCAGTTGATTATTCTTTTTTTTCGTTCTTAGGAGAAAGACCTCAAAGATTTTTAAACAAATAAGGATCAGAAAAATATTCTTGTATGAAGTTCTATGAAAAGGGCGTATTTACTTGGTGTTACGAAACTATGAAGACTAATTGATGCTGAAACCGAAATATTCATACAAAGTGTGAGTCATCAAGAGAAATCCGAAAGGAATATCACAAGGCGCAAATATAACCCGAGGAAATATTTAAGTGTATTAGTCATACGGGCAATAAATATTTGAGTATTTACGTTGTGCATATGTCAAGTGATGTAAACGTAAAAATTTTGTGCAACAAATAATTCTCAATCGCTGTTTGATTTTTTTTCTCGCGACAAGTCGCGTAATTATTATCGTAGAGAATTAGAGAATGAAAGTGTTTATTAATAAAGGAGAATAGTGCCCTACAATAATATGGAAGATGAGATAACGATAACTATTATATTAAGTATATTAAAGTCATATAATAAAGAATTGAGGAAATGTATTTACAGCATTTACAACGGTTTGCAATATAATAATATAAGTAAAAAATATAATTGATATATGTTGTCATAACATTGATTGAATCCACACTTAAAGTAGACAACTTTTGTCCTATTATTCACGTTCCTTCTTTTCCATAACCAGTGCCTCCGTCATAGAGCTCCCCTAGTGAACTGGTAGAAACATCGGAACTTGATTTTATAGGACCCGCGACACTAGTCTTTCTAGCTTCCCTATATCGAAATTCCTTTTCACTTCCCCCAAAGTTGAATTCAATCTTGCTGTCATTATCAGCACCAACCGTCGGGAACCATATGTGTCTCAGCCCGCTGAAAGCATTCCCCATTCTTTGTCCGTTCTTTGTAAAGAACACTATTCCAGTCTTAGGATAGTAACCACAACCAATGACATCACCAACATCGCCCCATATTTCGCTATAAGTTCTTCCTCCATAGCTTTCATTGTAAAATTTACGCCCATCATCAGAATGCCATCCTACGGATTCCTTATGCCAACCCGGTAACCTACATGACGAATAAAATAAGTCAGTTATTGAAATATGACGCGATGATTAAATTAATTTAAATACCTAAACGGTGGATATGGTTTCGTTGCCAGTCCTATAGCGATAGTCGAACCTCTCTTCCTGGGGTTTGATAGTATAGTTATTTCATAGTAATAAAACCATTCAGAGAGACTTTCACGAGATAATGTTGATAATGTTGAACCTTTGTTGTATGCAGGCGGCGGATACTGTACGGTGTCCATTGAGAATGATTGTAGAGTTCTTCGTTCATGAGTCAATACCGTCGAGGAAGTAGGACTAACTTCGTTATCCAAATCATATTCTTGAGGTCTAAATAGAGGATAGTTTGTCTGCACCATCTTATCTGAATTTTTTCCGAGAAATTGCACGACGCGTCCATTATCCTCTACGCTCGCAAGATTATTATTTCTGACGCTTTCTTCCAGAATAATTCTCCATGCTACTGGTCCACCTGATGTTATTATGTACTCGATATGTTCGGCTGGCGGAAAAACTTCATAGGGTGGGTTTTCACGATTGAATTTTTGACCTTCTTTATAGGCTTGCCAAGTTGCATTATTCCGTAGTCCGTGTAAGTACGATTCTTCTGGGGCAGCTGAAACTTCATCATATGACGGTGGAGGATTATTCTTTTGTTTTTTCGGTAATGGTGGATATTGTTGAGCAATAGCAGCTTGATGCTCCGGCATGTCATCATCTGTACCCAATTCAGCGAAGTCCTGTTCAAGGTCCAATCTGGCGCTTAATCTGTCTTCCTTATAATAGCGTTTGATGAGATAGCACCTCCATACGCCGCAAAGTAGTATTAAAAATGTGAGCACGCCCACTATTGAAAATGTAATGATACAGTACTGCCCGCATGTTCCATCACTGTACCAAAAAACCCATCCGGAACTATAGTATCCTCTATTGCTGGAACTGCCAGAGGTGCCATAACTTCCGCCACCTCCATCCTCTCCGGCACCCCCTCCCTTGGCACGAATTAGGACTGGATAAAGGACTAAAGCTAATATCAACTTTAGGTTACATATTATCCTAATATTCATCGAAAACGTCATATAATGAAGCGGACAAAGGAGTGTAAATAAAAAGAAGAACTTTCAGGAGGAATATATGTGATAATAAGTATTTTTCCCAATTTATACGTTATTATGCGTTACACATTTTGTTTTGATTTGGGGTTTTTATAAAAAAATCGTGTGATTGCCAAGTGTGATCTCATAATTTCATAAGTCTCGTCTTTTCTGGGATGCCTAGCTTAACTTGTTAAATACGTAATTAACGAATGCATTATGTGGTAATAATTTCATCTTTAATAGTGATTTTCGGTCCATTGTTTTCTCTTTACGATGAATTATGGGTAATTATTTTCGAAGGCGGCAGGAACCTATAATGCGATCCCATATCTTGCATTATTGATGAATAAAGTTTCTGCCCTCACTACATATAAAACGAACTTGAAACGTAATCTTGTCGTAGGATACATCTGTTAGAGAAATAAATTTCGATAAGACCACTTCAATAGCCACACAATGATCGTTCAATCCGAATATGAGGTCAAGAAAATTTCCAAATAGCTATGAAACTTATTCGCGACTTTCTACACAAATTAGAAAAATTTGTCCAACGTGTCTTTCGTGTAAAGTGCAAATATTATTGTTGTGCAATAAAGAATATTACTTAAACAATACATTTTGGAACTATGAACAGCGATTACGATGATAAGGAGAGAAAATTATATTTTAATCCGTTATTAAAATCGATAAAAAATATTACAAAGTCATTGACGTCTAAAGATATTATTGTTGCTTTATAAAATCAGTCATTGTTTCATCATAATCCAAAAGGTTTTTATTATATCAATAACACTCTTTATCCATAACGTATACGGTATACATTTACGTATATGTAGCAATCGCGCATGTGTACATATGATAAGTGTTGTTGTTTGTTTTCTAGAAAATACATATTTTACAATCAAATTTCGTTATCAATTAATTGTGATATTTTTAATTTTATTGTTGAATATAAACAAAGATTTTAAAGATTTTTTTGTTATTGAACTTTTTAACTTGTTATTATAAAATGTAACGAAGGCGATGAAAATGATAGATGTGTTTTTTCGGCCCCTACCTTTATACAATACCTATAAAATGTAATTTTAAGGAGTACAATTATAGTGTTCGAAAAATTACTGTTTACCTTTTCCATATACAGTAAATATAATTACTATAAATTTTTTTTATAAGATAAAACACGCAACTTATTTTAAATATTTAAAATCATAGTAAATTTGCTTTGAAAGGTTTTAACAATAATTGTGATTTTTAGTGGATTATACTCCCAAGAACGTCCCTTATCTGTGATAAAAGTTTGGATATACTGTATATTAATCTATTATAATTTGGTACAATCTCTCGCGCAGTTTTTTAATTTTATATGATTCGATATATAAATTTTGATTGATAATCGTCGATATCCAAATAAGGATTTTGTCTCAAAGCATGGTTTTGCTGTGTTTCAACCCATATACGTAATTAAATAAATCATTTTTACTTTTTTTATATACTTGAAAATATTATTTAAAAAATTTTAGATTTTAGATTTTTTTATTTTGTTTTATTTTTATCTTTTTTATCAAATTAAAAAAATATATTTCTATAAATAAAAATAATATTAATATTAGTTCTAATGGGTTTATGAAAAAATAGTAAAATAAAATAACATATAAATTATGCAAAAAAAAATATAAAACATATTTCAAAACAGAAAATTAAAAAATTAAAAAAAAAATTAATTAAATTTGTTATTATTAAAAATTATAAGTTTTTATATTAATTAATCAAATTACAATATTTAAGTATTAAATACAAATTATTAAATAACAAACTTTTAACAAAAAAAAAAAAATTAAATACAAAAAAAAACAAATCTATTTAAAAATAAAAATTACTTTAATACAAACAATAAAAACCATTAAATATATCTTTAAAGAATATTATAATAATTAAATAAAAATAATATATTTAAAAAACTTAAAAAAATATATTAAATAAAATAATAAACTAAGTATATTGTTAATAAATTTAAAAAAACTTTAAATATATAATTAAAAAAATATGTTAATAAAAATTCAATTAATTTTATTAGTTAAATTAATAGAATAAAAATTAAAAATATATTAAAAACAATTTTAAAATCAAAAATATAAAAACTTTAATAGTAATGTTATAGAAAAATAATAATTGACAATATGGCTTGAAATTGAGAAATAATGATTGTGTATTATAAAGATTGTCAAAATAGGTAATTAACCTTCAACCTTATTATTTTTTTTATTTTTGTTATTTCTTTTATTTTTGTTATTTTTGTTATTTTGTTATTTCTTTTATTTATTTATTTATTTATTTTTGCAAATAAATATAAAATACAAAACTTTATTTATTAAGTGATAGTACTATCATTACATTAAGCATCTATTAAAGTTAATACTAGCTTATTGCTTTTTTATATTTCAATATATCGATTGCATCATGTAAATAGATCCACATACTGAAAGAAAAGCATCAAGAAGATAGAAATTCTGCCTCCAGTTTTAAACCACCTGATCTTATGTTTCCAGTTTTTGTAAAGATTCAACTGTAATTTAGCATGTTAGTCATCATTAGATTCCTTTTCACATTTCTACTATCTGCTCACACAATTCATAATACTCATGAACTTATTACTTTACACTTTCTAGTAAATGCTCCAAGAGTTGTTCTTATGGTTAACACATACTATTAAATTTGGAGACCTACAGGCCTAGTGGAACATAACTCCTAAATTTTTCAGTGAATACTCCATAGGCTCTTGATTGACTTTAGCTACCAAATCCAGAAGTACAAATATCAAGCAGAATCCAACTCTTGTAAAGTATTAAGACAGCCTTCATATATTGGTGCCATATAATAATCCTCTTAAAAGTTGCCTAAATAGATTAACATGCTTCTTGTTATGAAGTCTGCCATATCAGTTAGAATTAATAGTCACAGTTCTATCCATATCAGTGGCCTGGTAACTAATATAATATAATTATCTTCAGCCAATCTTTTGGAAAGGGGAAGCTGACTATAGCTTTTCAAGTTCATGATAAAAAGAGACATATATCTACCAACTGAAATATCCAAAAATAAGTTTTCACTAGAAAAGTTTATTATCTTAAATAAAGAAAAACCATTTCCAGTATGGTTAAGAATGGTAGAATAGTGTAATGTAATAAATAAGTGATTCTAGAAAGAAAAAATCCCAGGGGGGAAGAAAAACCTGCCTAGAGGAAAAAGGTAAAAAGAGTTGGAGAAAAGAATAAATGAGTGGGTAAAAAGAAGAAATTAATTATACTTAGGCTTGTATACAGCGGTGAGCAATTTTATTTGGAATACTTTAATAAATTTTATTTACTTTAATTTTATTCTTATTCTACTCATTATTTTTATTACACATTCCTTTCTATCTCTCCTTTTCTTCCTGTTTTTTTTAGTAGTTTATCCTCTCACCACCTTTTTCAATAATTGCTACACATCTATTTCCCATTGATCCGATTATGTTATTTATCTCTTCTTCCGATATTTGATTCCATTCTTCCTTCATCATTCTTTTCAAATCTCCTTGATCCTTTGGTCTTCTTTTTTCAATTCTTCTTTTGATAATTCCCCATAAGTTTTCTATTGGATTTAGGTCAGGGCTATTTGATGTCCAATCTATCTCAGTCAGTATGTTTTTCTTTACAAATTCCTTTGCTATTTTACTGGTATGTTTAGGATTATTATCCTGTTGGAATCTCTAATTCCTTCCCCCTATTCTTTTTACCTTTGGTAATTGTTATTGAAGAATGTTAACATACAATTTAGCATCCATTTTTTCTGTAAAGCAATAAAGATCTGCTTTTCCAAAGGTTGAAAATCCTCCCCAAGCGTAAATCTTTCTTCTATCCTTTGGAACTGGTTGTACTGGTCTACTATTTTTATGCCATACTGTTAATATATTTCTGAACAGTTGGAAGGATGTTTTATCAGAAAATAAAGTTCTAGACCAGTTATCATCCTTATGTTTTTGGGCCCATTCCACTCGTTTTCTTTTATGTTTTTCTGTAAGTATGGGTGTTGCGAGGGGTAATGAATTGGTATATCCCATTCTATGAAGGTGTCTTCCTACAGTATGTCTAGAGACAGATATTCCTTGATTTTCTAATTTTTCCGCAAGACTTTTTGTTATTTCATAGGGATTTCTTCTAATATTCTGTCCAATGACTCGTGTTCCTTTTTCGTTGATTTTTCTTTTTTTTCCTGACCCCTTCATTCTTTCTACATTTCCTGTGTTTCTAAGTTTTTTCAAATTATAGTAAATAGTTGAAAGTCCTATTTATGTTCTTTTGTGAATTTCTTTAGCATTCATTACCCCAATATTCCAATAATAGAGGATAACAGTTCTTTGTTGTTCCTTTGTCATATTCATTTTGTCTACTACTCGTTTTCCTTTTTTGATTATCATTTATCTAGTTTTTGATCTGCTGGTATATTTCCTTAAATTCCATATCATTAATTCGAGCTAAATTTTTCAAAACTACTATTCTTACTATTTCTTCATTCTCACTATACATGCTTTTAATGTATGTTTTTCTGTCTTTCTTTATTATTTTCAAGTAATAATATTCCTCAATTATCTTTCTGATCTTATTGTTATCAAAATTCTTTTCCCATTGGTAATACACTACTTCAGCTAAATTTGACTTTTTTCCTTTCATGACAACAGATCCTTTTATTCTCCACATACTCATAAAATATTCCTTAATACAATATGTACTTTTACAATTATTGAATCTTTTATAACTTTGTTTAGTTAACTTATTATTCTTGAACCTTTTACAATTTTCAAATGCAGTTGTTTCATTATATTGTTGGTGCCATTCTTCTTTTATTTTCCTACAAATGTTTACTATGGTATATTCATATTTTTCTATTATATTTTTCCATAACCTGCAAGTTCTCTGTAGAGTATCTACTATCTT